TGCACAAGCTGCATACAGCCACTGCAACCCTGTAAACTGCTGATCAAGGAATTTGCAAAACATGCAACTGGCAATTGTGGAGCATGGGAATCAAAACGCATCAAGAAAACTTTTGGCTTCAAACAGAGACTAAACGGCAAACCGTTTCTCACAGGGCATTTTTGGAAGCAAGCGATAAAACACAATTCGCTCGCGAACAGTAAGCTTATCGCTTGTGCCAAAATTGGTTTGAACCCAAAAGCATCGTCCGAAACCTAGGACAAAGCACATAGCCCAAAATCAACGACAGTCCCAAGCACTCCTCCTTTTCAATCGGTGGGCGAATCAAAGATCCTCATGGACAGTACTATGCACATTGTGTCTGCACACTCTTGCCAAAACGTGCGCAACACCAACAACAAAACAACAAGCCCCCAATTAACCGAAGAACCTAGATGGTTGCCATCAAACGTAAGACAGCTTAGAGCACAGTCTCTAGAGTTGACCCGCCCCGAGTGGCAGTCACCACTTCCCAAGGCAGTCCACACTATCCCACCCACAAGGCATTTGCCCACATGGAGCGGGAGCACTAGGCTGAAGGCGCAGCCTTGCGAACACCGGGAGGGGAAGACCTCCCTACGGGTCTGGCCTTAAGATTGCGCCAACGCAATGCACACAGACTTCACCACGCAGGTCAAAGCTGGTAGCTGTCAGTCATTCGGTGTTGAGCTGCGGGGGGGGGTCGCTGCAGTACCCTCCCCTCCCCCCCCCCTCCCCTGGGCTTGGTATCGCAACCAGGCACCTCTTCATTCATTTGGATGCCCCACAACAGTGTGCGGTACACAAAAAGGGGGGGGGGGGGCTTGCTGCATAAGGACCAAGACAGACCAACGTTAACTAAACCAAGAAACCAGCAAGAACAAGCCCGGAGTACCCACAGAGGGCATCCCCTCATCCCCGAGGCTCAAACCCCAGGGCAGCCCAGTACTGTTGAAAGCGTGTACAACCAGAGTACGCAGGTGCTGCCCAACCCGCACATCACGAAACTTGCGGGCCACACCGCACCTCTTTATATGACGAGTCCAAATGTGCCAATTCAGAAATTAGGACCCGGGTAACCCTTGCATAAGTGAACACGTGTCTCGATCCCGGGCCGCCACCGGGTGCTCCGGAGGTACTTAGGCCGCCAGCATCTCTGTCCGCACCACAGAGGTTAGCTCAGCCTGCATGCGGGGGGGGTCACAGGACCCAGAGAGTGTTTGCGCCGGCCCAGGGACCAATCCTAAAGGGAGTTGTCCTGGCAAGTGGAGAAATCAGACATCACCCCGGCAAGGTGGGTTCCCCAGCTGAAAGGCATCGGTTCACAAGCCCCTTCGATCGCACAGTAGGCCCCCAGCACGGAGGTTCTCGACCCAACACAAGGGGAAGGGGAGCGAGCCAACCGTACTATTCAGCTCAATCTCACACGCCACAGGGAGATGACGCAATGAGGGGAATGGACACTTAGTTGGCTCAGTCCTAGGCTGACCGCTCAAGCTCTCCGTCCTCCACGGGCGCACGGGAGGCTTGTTGCATTGGACTCAAGACAGAACCCTTGAGGGAGACCGACATGACCGTCACAAGCGGTGGAAAGCAGCAATCTCTGGGGCGGAGCACGACCCACAGAAGTTCACGCCGGAAATTGGCAACCCCAGACACACAGCACTAAGTAAGATTCTGTTGCCTCGTAACGGGCACGAGCACAACCCACACAATATTACTCCTGGCAACAGCATACCAAGGCTTATGGCACAGTGCACTTAGCCCCCAAATGTGCCGCGTAGCGGCACAGCACACATCAGCGCTTTCAGGGTTGTGCTCTCGGCACCCAGCTCTCCAAGCACCCATTGGAAAGGAGCAATAGAGGGGCGAGGGGCGTTCAAGCTGAAATTAATTCAGGCGTTTGAACTGGCAGCCTTGGCAGCGCCTATCACAAATCAACAGCTCCAATCGCATGTTAAAGGGTCAGGGAGAGCATGTCAAGCGTCAGACCCACTAGACCCAGCGGGCCAACCTGTGACGTGCTCGGGACGAGCCTGCCATGAGACAGTCAGTGGATCCGGCCGATACTGCCCAGGCACCACAGGTTCAAAGGTCGGGCGCCCATAACGACAAGTAGAACCGTCTAAAAACCAAACAATACTCCCGACGCGCAAGCCGTGTGTCAGGTCCGGAGGACCGGGGAGCACTAGCCAGGCACAACAGGCTTAGATTTTCGGGCACCCAGAAGGCAAGGGAACCCTGCGAACACAAACCGGACAAACATCGGCTAACCCCTCAGGCATCCCAAACAGGCACACTGAAGCAGCCAGAAACCACTAAAAACCAGACATCACCCCACATAACCGAACTAGAGCACAGGCCGGCTGCCGCACAGGCCGGCTGCCGCGCAAGGCCGGCTGGCTACGTTGGACAGCGGTAGACAGCTGGAAACATGGGTCACTGGAAGTGAGCGGGCTCGCGCAACGCATTGCCCCCTGTATAATGGACTCCTGCACACCGAACAAGGCGCGGGCAGGAGGCAGATGCTGTCCGAGAATGGTGTCGGTGGAGGACACGACGACGTCGGCCCGGCCCTAGAGACATGGCAGGGCAAAGGGCCACGCATGACTCATTGTAAACGTAGCAACGTGTAGACGTGAAGCAGACCATAATTTTAGCTCGATCCATGGCGCACGCGCAGCACCCACAGCGCAACTGTTGCAGGCCGGGCCCGACCAACATCGAGACCGGGACGATGAGACGTGACAGAGCTGGTCCAATGAAGACGCATCGTGCTCAGGCCGCGCACCGGATCATATGAGTATCGAACACTCAATGAACCGAGCCTCTGGCGAGGCCTCAAGGCCACACACCCTCTGCGGCAGGAGGAATTTTGTTTTGCAGTGTGTTGTTACCTAGCATTGGCATGGCCACTCGGGGCAAACATGCATAGCGGCATAGCCCACAAGGAGCCCTCCTGGCAAGATCGTGCCGGACGGTGGAACAGGCCCGTAGCAGTCGACACAACCAGTATGACACGCAGACACGCGCAGCTTGACCACGCGCAGCTCCCACCCAGAAGCCCAGGTCGGTGGATAACGAGACCGGAGCACTTAGGGAAAGTCCAACAGTCACTTGGACCACATCAGGTTTTAGGGTGGAAGACTCTCGCAGCTGACAACGAGGAGCTGGGCAAGCGCACACAATATGCCACGTAGAATGGCTCACCTTGAGGGAGAGGCCGCAGCCAAACCCTCCACAGTGCAAGGTTTGCGACCGGCAGAACAGCCGAGTGAAGGTCGAAGGAAACGTCGTAAGCGACCCCAGAACTTATTGGTATGCCCATTGGCATGGAGGCGCACATTGTCCAGGGATGCCTCTGGAGACTGAACGAGGGTGTTCTACGTGAAAGTGTGGGCAATTTGCTTAGAGGCCATGGACGCAACGGCCAGGCATGACCACCTCGTGGATTTGGCCTGCATACAGGCAGAGGGCCTTGCGTCTCGGTTTTGGTGCGCCATGCGGACCACCGGCATAGTTGCGCAAGGCGTGGATGGTGTCCGGTGGACGACAGCCTGGAGACTTGCCTGGGCTCCAAGGGCGCACGCCACTTGTGTTGCATGAATAGCAGGTAATTTGGAATGCTTGGCCGATGGCCCAAGATATTGCCCGCACAAGCGGGGCGTCTGGGTGGATATCGAAGACGTCGTTCAAGATGCCACATGTCACCTCAGGTGCGTCAGACATGGCACGCACTGCTACTTCAAACCACTTCAGGCATTGTCTGCAGACCACATGGCACTAAACAACACGAACTCACATGGCGGGAAAAGCCCAAAGCAAAGCAAAGCAAAGTCCTAACATGATACATGAGTCCATGAACATGGCTTTGAGCCTTCATCCTTGCACGAGCACCCATGGTGCAACGGACATATGGCACCATGGCCATGTTGTATGACAGCCCCTTGGCTCATACAAAGGCACCATGTGCCGCTTCATGAGACCCACATAGCCCCTTGGCTGAGCAGACATTTGCTCGTCTCATGACATCATAAACATGCGCAAACACATATGTGAGCGCCCACTCATTTCCCTTTTTCCGACATTACGAACTGCATCCTCATCGCTAGGCAGTCTTTGCACCGCTTCCAGACAAGTGCCTTGGCGCCAAACGAATCCAGGGGCGCAGAAAGCGCAAAACACAGTTGCACCTAAGCCGGCTCAAGAACAAAGCCCCGTAACGTGATCACGCGTCAAAGCGGAAAGACAACTGCGGGCATTGAAATTATGAGCGCGGATAAACGCTTGGAGTCGCTCGCTAGCGGGTGCACCCACCAACCTTGTTTGAAGGGCCCAAAATGAGGCCATTCTGCGTGGCCCCAAGAGGCTCGCCTGGGGCACTGGAAGGCAACAATTGGCGTCAAGGATGACGAGGTGAAACGCTTCACCTGTTAAGCCTTCGCGCACTTGTTGCAGGGAGATCTCATCTTGGAATTTGAAGTTTGGCGGGACCTTGAGGCCCCACTGCTTCTGTCCAAGGTCCCTACACTTGATACCTGCAAGAGTTGCCCGGAACACAACCCGACAACATTGAAGTGCCAAAGAGGTGCACGCCGTAGGGGGCAGGGTTGGGCCATCCAACAAAGCAGTCAACGGGACCACGCGTTCCGTGATGACATAATGGGCCCGGCACAAACCGTCTGCTCCAAGGGACACCCAAATGGAGCCGCTGCCGAAGATGCGGGTAAAGGCTGCCGGACACGCAGCAGCACTCCTAACCTCATTCACATTGTCAGCATCGTTTTCAGCGAGCTTCACAACAAGGCTTGCAGCTGGCCCTTCACCCCGAAGGTGGTACACTTTCCGGAAACCCCCTTTGAGCTCAGGCACCCTGCTCGACCCCAAGACTGACAGGCTTTCACCATTTACTTCTAGGGTCAGGTGAAGGTCATCCGGGAACATGTCGTTGCCTGTTAAAACCCCTGAAGCACGCAAAAGCTTCATTGAGGGCAATGCTTGTGCACTGTTGGGGATTGCCTCTTGAGCGGCATCCTGAACCGGCGCAACAGGGACCGCATCATGAGCAACATTCCGAGCCGGAGCCGGAGTGAGGAAGGAGCCACCTTGACTATCGACCAAGCAATTTCCGCAAATGTCGAAGTCGCAGACCCTACAACCCCAAAGCAAGCGCCGCGTGGTAAACACGCGTTTGCATGCACTGCACCACCATCCAGGCTCAGGAGACCCAAAGGAGAACAGGGGATGACCCGCAGAACACGTGGGACGAGCATCAAGCCTGGCCAGAAAGGCTTCTGCACAATCCTGCGTGATGCCCTCGTCCGACGAAGCAGAGCCACTGGATCGGCTGGTACTTTCGGGCTCCCTCTTTTTACGCTTAGGGCTAGGAGGTCGTGGAGGCATTGGCCGATCACCAGAAGGCAAGGACGTTGATGCTTCAGGCACACGTTCCAGGAATGGGGCATCTGCCTGTCGCTGGAAGGGTAGGCCACGGCACGCGTAGGGAGACATTCAGTCCTGCGGGGAATGGAGCCAGGACCAGTAAAAACAGGTCGCGAACTCAACGGGGTAACCACCCTCGGTTTCTCAGGCAAAGACACCTTTCCAGGAACATCACGGACACCTGTGGGCCCCATGAAAATCCGCCTTTGGAACGGTCTGACCTCATCCACCATCGCACCGGCGGACGCACGTCGCCCCGAACTTTCCGACACAGCAGGAGCCTTGGCTGATGAATTCGGCTCATCGAGCTTTCGAGCTCTGGACACATCTAGGGAGAACGCGCTGATGGCACCTGAGGGGGTCTCGAGCTGAGGGCTCATAACCAGCTGTGCGTACTTGGCAGAGCCGCCAAGGGGATTGCCAGTGGGCTCTGTGATGGCCTCACTGGCGCTTGAGGCCTTGTTGTGGGCTCCGGCCTCCCTCCCCGTGGCACAAGGTCCGCTTGGGCCGTGGCCTGGTCCACCACGGGCAACCTGGTTCTCATTGGAGCCCAACTGCACCTCGGAATATTGCGCGCCCACAGTTTCAGCATCCGAAATACTTGATGCAGGGCTCACATCACTCTGCGGGTGAACTCTGGGCCCGGAGACGCATTCAGGCGGCGCAAGTCTGACAGCTTGTTCGGACTCAACCCTATGAGAGGCCTTGGTCCTAGCCTTTGTTGTCACCTCCCTTGACGAAGCCTTGGAGGCACTCACGCGGTCGTGTGCCGCGTCTCCCACACCTTGAGGGGGCGAGCTGGGTAGAGTGTGTTGATGTGCGCTCGACACATCATACCTGACTGGCTGTCCAAGAGGTCTGTCTGGGGGATCAAAAGCATCACCCTTACCCAGGTGAACCCCGACTTGCCCAGGCGCCGCGCCATCACTTAAAATTTCGCCATCAGGTTTCACGGGCACCAAATCTTCGGCTTCACTCCCACGTAGCGTTGCACGAGCCTGCGATATGTAGGCGGGGCCCACTTGGACATGGGATCCGATCGCCTTGCCAACCGGTGCACTGACTTTAGGCACTGGGGCCACGGGTTGGCCATCAGGTTTCTCAGGCACCAAATCAACGGGATCACTCCCACGTAGCGAATCACGAGACTGTGATGACTGAGCATTGCCCATCTCCTTCGGGACACCATCAGCCTGGTAGCTAGGCTCACCAGGCTCAGAGCCCACAGCTTTTGGAGCTTGGATGGGGGACTCACCTTCAACCAGAGCATCTCCCTGGGCGCTGGCACGCCCTTTCGGGACACCGTCAGCCTGGTAGTTAGGCTCACCAGGCTCAGAGCCCACAGCTTCTGAAGCTCGGATGGGGGCCTCACCCTCAACCAGCGCATCTCCCTGGGCGTTGGCACAACCTCCCCTTTTAACCGAAGCAGACTGCCCAGAGGGATTCTTCCTGAAGCGCTTAACAACGCACACAGGGGCCACAGCAGGGGGCACGGAACCCGCAGGGGCGGGCAAGTCCGAAGACGCAGCGGAGCCAGGCAACGCCATTTATCGGTCGTAGACGGCCAAGTACCAGGCAATCACGCAGTGAGCACACCAATGGTGGTTGTGGTTGATACGGTAGCGTATGCACCCGTTGCGACCACACTGCTGGCAAAGCTGCTGACAGGCCGGTATAGGGGGATCCTGCTCAACGAGCGGCTGTTCCGGAGCACGACGACCGCAGGTGGACCCCATGGGAGGCTAACAAAGGCTGATGACAAGCAACAGGCAAGCCACGCCCAAGCAGAAGCCGGAACAGAAACAGGAGGGGGCAGTCCTGGCAGGACTCACGGGGCTATGGGCCCCCAAGTGCACAGGGGAACGCAGCGCGGCTTGCCCACGGAGGCGAGCTCCCATCCGCTGCCTGCTTCACGCAGGCAACTTGCACTGGGCCTAAGGCCAAGGTTGGAGGATAGGGCCTGTTGAAGAAGGACCTGTTTGGAGCCTCAACCCCCGTTTGACAAATTTTCACGGCCCGATGGAGCCCGTGCTTGAGCCAAAATGGCTACGGCAAAACATGCAACTGGCAATTGTGGAGCATGGGAATCAAAACGCATCAAGAAAACTTTTGGCTTCAAACAGAGACTAAACGGCAAACCGTTTCTCACAGGGCATTTTTGGAAGCAAGCGATAAAACACAATTCGCTCGCGAACAGTAAGCTTGTACGCTGCAGAATTGTGGCGAGGGATTACAGCACGGGCCCAACCGCGGCTCAGCTGGGGATCTCCTCACCGACCGCGTCTGCGGAAAGCCTACGAGTGTTCCTCGCAATGGCAGGGGCTAAGGGGCACAACATGCTGGGACTCGATGTGTCCACCGGTTCCCCGTCCGACCGCATGGTAATCACAGTCTCTTGCGACCCTACGATTCCAAGCGATCGACCCCAACGCACAAAGTCCGTGCACATGCTGTCCCTGTCAGGTCTCCACAGAATAGCCCCCAGAGCCCCACAACCAACAAGCACCAAGATCAACACGCAAACCCCTTTGTACCAGAACTTGTCTGCTTGCACTTCCCTCCGTGGCCTACGCTCGGGCAAAAGTCTTCTCGCCGGGTTTGTCCCTCGGGCTCGTCTGCAGTCCTCACAGGATGCAAGATAAGGGATATGTGATCGCAAGACATGTTCGTCATGAAGCTTCGACAGGTCATGCTCATTCAGGAATTCACGATCCCCAACAACCCACCAAGCATCAGACACAGGATCACTTTCAACACCCTCGTGCAAACCCTCATGCAACCCTGCCATCGCGAACCCTTCTTCTTTCTCAGGCGCGGAAGACCCCTTGCTCCAGTCGAACCACAGTTGGGGTTTTAGATGTACAGGCCGGCGTGGCTTCAGATATCCAGGTCCATCTTCCTGTCGGTAACGACAGACCAGCTCCTCATGCTCGGCGAACGCGGCGGGGAGTGACCCCGTGAAGATGCCGGTCCCCTTGGCATGCACGGCGGCGGTGTCTCTGGCACACCCCCGGGTGTGATCGGTGCCGGCATTGGAGGTGGCGGCAATGGTGGCAAAGGGGGTGGTGGCAAATCCAGCTTGGCCACGATCCGCGACGCAGTGCTTATCACCATTTCGCCACGGTGATTGACTCGTAGCCATTCCGATGGACCCTTCCGCTCTGCCAGGCGGGGGGTGTTCTCCGCCAGTTCCATCGCCTTCTCGATGCCCTCCTGGACCGCACGTTGTCACATTCAAGGGCGCACAAATGCGCATGGCACACCAAGAGTTGCCAACTTCCGAGTATCGTGTTTTTGCGTCACGGCGTTCCGGTCACTATGGCTTCTCGCCGCGGCAACTCTCAACGATTTGAATACAAAGGGCGCCCTTTTTTGGTTTAACCGGATATTTATGGTTTGAACGGACTTTGTAAGGAAACCTAAACCCCAATAAGGGAAAAAGGGCCCTAATCTGGGCCCCACAGAGAACATGTAAAAAAACAGGAAAACTTCCCAGAGACTTCTCTGACCCTTCCCCAGGGCCTACGCAGAACCGGAAGTCCCACAAAGCACCTCTGATCACGCTGCACAGTGCTTTGGATGAAAGTCTTACTAAAATGCCTCTTTAAGAATCCCATTTTTGCAGACCCCCTGGGCTCCCTGACGCTGAAAGGGGTCACCATGGAAGACGAGTTGGAGGCCGATTCGCTGACAAGCCGCTGGTGCGGGCGCTTGTGCAGCTGCATGGCCTTTGCCGTGTTGCCCACATGCGCTTGCAGGATTGGCGCTGTTTGCTTCACCCGTCTCCATCCCCCCCCCCTGCTGGCATCTTCCGGCTGTTCGGGTCGAGGACGGTGCCGGTTTGCAGCACTGCGGCCTGGTTGCAGCTGCAAGCCCTGATCGTCTCGCCAAGCTCCGGGAAAGATGGTCGCGACGACTGTTTGAGGACAAGTTGTGCTTGCGCTTGGCATGCTCTCTGCAGAGTTCACCCGATCAGATTCCCCTGTCTGAGTCGGATCTTGATCCTTTTGTGCAAGAAACTCTGGACGTGCTGGGATGGCCTACGCCTTGTTGGTTTGTCTTTGACCTCCATCATCACAGACCGCACGACGGGCTTCTTGCTCACCTGGCAAGATAATCTTGCCTCATCCGTGGGGGTGTCCTTGAGGAAAGACTTGATTTGAGGTCTTTGTGCTCCCTGCCCGGCGTCCACGCGAAGACCTGTGCCGCGGCGTTTGATGCGCGTGGACAGTGACACTCCATGTAAGTGGGCTTCGTGCTGGACCGGTGAGGCACTGCCATTGATTGCAAAGACATGCAACCTCCGAAGCACGTCCTTGATTTTGCAAGACAGACTTGGGGGTGTTGTTTCTTGCGCCGCATCCTGCCCAGATTCTTGCCAGGAGGGGGCAGTGTTTTCTGCTAGTGGCAGCAGATGGCCTTGTTTTCAACTCTGAGAGCTGCCCTTGAAGGTGCCCTTGAACAAGAGAAATGAATGTTTATTTATTTCCACTTGAAGTACAGGCGCTGCTGCTGCAGGGTGTTGCAGCGGTGGTCCGGTAGGAGCCACATTACAGAAACTTAGGGGCTGGCTGACAGACCGTAATTATGGGCGGACTTCGGGCGCGTTTACGGGCGGAGTTTACAGGCGGCGTTTAGGGGTAGAGACATCCTGCAAGAGGCATGCGCAACATCTGCTGTCTTCCATATTACGCGATCCCAGGTTGTCGTCAGATATCGTAGTGTAAAGTGGCCAAAAATTGCAAAACGAAGGAGACTTGGGGGCGTGCATTCTCTGCAGACATCTGTGAACTGATAAATCTTGCTTCATCCGCAAGGTTGTCGCCGCAGAAAGACTTTCGTTTAGGTCTTTGTGCTGCGTGAAAACCTGTGCCGTGGTGTTTGATGCACATGGACAGTGACACTCCATGTGCCTTACCAGACTTTCCGCTCAGAGCCAGTGAAGACTCAGGACCTTTCAATTTTCTAGCGGTCCTAGCGCAAACGTGTGCTGAGAACCGGCTGTCAGCTCTTAAAAGTGGGATTTGTGCTCCCAAACTCCAGATGCTCTGGACCGCCGCCCTGCCACAGCACACTGCCACGGCGCATATGCAACGATCACTATTGAAGCTGGGCCCATGACTCATCTGACATGGTGACTTTTGCCAGGTACATCAGGCTGCGTTTTGGCAACTTGAGCAGGACAGCGAAAGCGGAGACCTGAACGACTGCGAGCTCACAAGATAATCTTGCCTCCCGGCAGGCAGGCGAAGGCGCAAGATGTGCAAGCTGTCATGATGACACTGCTGCAGGATCCGCAGCGGCGTCCTTGCGGAATGGCAGTGTAGGTTTCTGTGCCCCCTGCCTAGCGTCCACGCGTGAAGACTCGTGCCGTGCCGTTGTGTTTGATGCACATCAGGGGAGGCCCACACACCCGAAGCCAGAATTGCCTAGATTTTTCGACCCCAGATTTGGAGGTCACAGAATCACAGCTGCAAGCCTCACGCGCACACGGCCTTCTGCTTCTACTATATACACTTCCAGCTAATCGTCACGTGCTCTTCCCGCACCTCTACCCCTGCCCACTTACGCGGCGTCGCTAATCAAGATTAGAGGGGCACCAACTGTAGCTCTGGCGGAGTCGGCGTGACAAGCCTCGGCGGAGTCGGCGGAGTCCTCGCAAATTGCAATTAACCAATAGAGTGCCGTGGAGTCCTAGGTTTCCCGGAATAACAAAACAATGTTTTTTAATTCGGGAACACAACGACTCCGCCGTTCGCGGGCAGCTCGCCACCTTGGTCCGTTTTGTTAAGACTCTACGGGGGTGGAGGGCCTCCACCACGCAGCAGGAAAGTGACCTTCGCTATGTTCTTAAGCAGGTTAAGCCGAGGCAGGAACTCGGTCTCCTAGCACTTGCTGTGGAAATCAAGCCCCCTTCCCAGCCTCTTCAAAACACAGTCAAGGCCCCCCTCACCCCAACCCTTTCAAAAGAGGTCACACCCAACCCAGCCCCTTCATAGCATGGTCAAACCCGCCCAAGCCCACCCCAAGCCCACCCGGAAGCTACCCTCAGCGCCTTCAAAACATGGTCAAACCCATCCCAGCCCCGTCAAAGCATGGTCAAAACCACCCCAAAGCCATCCCACCTTCAAAACACCGTCAAACCCACCCCACCCACCCGCACCCCTTCTAAACAGGCCCAACCCACCCCGAGTCCACAAAACACGGTCAAACCCACCCCAGTCCATTCAAAGCATGGTCAAACCCAGCCAAACCCACCCCAAACCCACGCTGAACCCACCCCAAACCCACCCGCTATTCTCAGTCCCTTCAAAACATGGTCAAACCCACTCCACAAACCCACGTGCACAACCCTGTCGCTGGGGACGTCGCCCGTAGCCCATCCTGGATCCCCTGGACCTGAAATAGTTTAGTAGCTACTTTGAGATACGCAAGTTTTGTTCAAGTGCGGAAATTGTACCTACTTACATATATACATATATACACCATTGCGGAGCCGCATCTGGATTACTTGGGTAAGGCCATAAACCCTATGTCCCTAAGTCTC